ATGTAGTCAACAAAAACAGGGAAAACAGATTTTGAATTTATTTGGAACTGATCTGTGAGACAAACTCAAACATACAGGAAACAACTGAATATCGCTGCAACTTTTACTTTGCTGCTAAATATAAATGTTTCTAAACTCAGTCCAAGCCAGATTAACAATATCTCTGTAACATCAAATGTTTTTTAGGTAAAAGAGAGCCAGGTGAGGAAGGGGGAATGATGACAGGAGGGAGGGGGAATAAAGAAGAGCTGGAGAACTCTTCCTGAAGACAAGGACAAAGACATAAAACAGAATAAAAAGACACACCAAAGAAAGGCAAGGAGAGGAACATTTTTACAGAAGTCATCTTTTATTGCCACGTAAGAAAATTGTATATAGAACAATGGTGATATACTGTCAGATGGCAAATCAACAACAAAAGAAGACCAAAAAATATCCCTGTCATCCCTCTCATAAGGAAAACAGACAAATTCATAGCAACACTATGGTAATATAGTTCCTGGACAAAACATTTGCTATCTCTCTTTTTCTAACAATATTTGAATTGTACCAAAATACAGCTTTTTATAACTTAATTTCACAAATTATAAAGTCAGTAAACATTAAAAGGACAATGGGGCATCACGGTGCATATTATAAGCTACTGTGCAAACAATAGTGGGTGATGGAATCTAACATGGAAAATATGCTTTACTATGCGCATAAATGCATCAATGGGGCCATATGTATCCATATACACATAATGCATAAATACCACAAACTGGTCTGGACATCAAAAATAGAAAATGGGATCTCATATAACTTTGTATGTAATGCATGATTAACACCAAAATGAGTTAATCAGTGGATTCTATAAAAGGATATGCTTGCTAATGGACAATAGTCATATCGCAAATAGTTTATTGATTTTTAAAAGGTAATGAAAAATCCCTTGGCTCTGGTCAATAACGAGAGTATGAGTAATGGTCACATCCACTGTGATTGATATCCTTCTGGTAATGGTAACAGCAAGCATATTTAATATTTATGATCAAAAATCATACATATAAAGCTATACCATAGGAGCAAACCCTTTTAGAACAGATGTTGAGCGTTACTGAACGGCAAACACTGCATCTCCTGTCTCTGTGTGCATAAATAGACAGCTTCAGATGGGTGAAAACATTGCACGTAAAGACTTATGCAATACAAAGTCATAAACATAGCTGACAAGAACCCCCTTGATAACATAATGATATACTGATGTCTTGATCATACAGATGCTGCTCTTTATAGGCCGTAATGTTTCCCATGCTGTCAAGTTCTGCAAACGTCAACAGTAAAGGGCACGAAAGCAAAAAAAGTGGAGGAAAATCTGGTAAATGGAACTTGTGTTTGAGCCCTTAAGTGTCTTTTCCATGTTCTGTACATTTTCCACAGTAATACTGCTCTTTCTATTCTTTAATGAAGACTACAGTATACTACATTTTTACCTGTAGCGATTAAAGGAAAAAAGACTTTCTTCACTAGTGTACAGACAACTGCATTGTCCTTGTTCAGACTGACTCTTTAAGTACAATGCTTTGCTCACATCTTCAGTTTAAATGGGATACTCAAAACTACTCAGTCCAGCAGGAGCAGACAAATTCATCTTCCAGTGCATATTAGAATTTGCCAAAGCGTCTGGAGGACTCAGTGACTGATGTGAGAAACTACTGAGCTGCATTAATGATAAATAGTCCGAGAGTCCACGTCTTTGTAACAACACTGTAGCAACATGAAATCACTGGACAGAGGGGTTTTTGCGTGAGTGGATGTGTGTGTGAGCCAACAGTTGTCTCTGATTTGAAGCTTTCCAAGCTGAGCTGTTAGTAATTCAAACCTTCCTCCCTGTCAAGTGTTGACATTGTCTCTTTACTGTCTTTATGCAGCCAGTCACTGTGGACTGAACTCCTGTTGCAGCACCAAAGCTCTTCCCTAAATTTCTCTGGGTTTCAGTGATTAAAGACCACAGTGAGAGCTCACCCCTCCACCTCACTGGCCGCTGGTCTCAGCTCAGCTCCTGTTCTCTTTCTTATTGACTATTCCTTGTGGATTTTCCACTGTGCACTTTTCAGTCCTGGTGGCTGACCGCTCTGCTGAATAAAAGAGCTTGATTTCAGCAAAGCCATGTCTAATGGGGTCACTTTTTTGTATTAAAAGGCTTCACTGTGAGCCAAGCTGAAAAAAGAAGATATTTTCATATCCCATACCCACATCTCCTACAACCGACTCCTCCTCTCTGTCACCTGCCTCTTACTGTCTCTCAGTGATGACTGTGTGGGTTAGTGGGAGTATAAGCTTTTATAATGCTCTGCTAGTACTTGTCTGTGTGTATTTTGTGTGTGGGCAGGTTGGTGAGTTTGAATGTTGTTTGCCTTCAGCTTTTCCTCTGTCTTCTTTCAAGACATTTTATTAAAATCAAAATCTCTCTTGCTCATGATGTTTGCTTTACTCTGTGCCCTTCATATGACATGTTAGGAGATTCTGTCACAACGCCAAGGTAGCTAGCTAAGTCTCTGAACATTACAATCATTCAGACGTTTCACCTTTAAGAGCAAGAACACTACAGTAAGAGCACACTGCAAATTAGCAAGGCTTCATGAGTCACGTAGCATGGTGGCTCAGTGACAAGGGTGCCAATTTGGGGTTTAAAAAAAAAGTGTTACGTCAGACTGCGCGTAGCACCAGCTAGTTAGCATGTGTTCCCAAACTACAGATGGGTGACAAAGGGTAAACCACCATAAAGTGTTTTAGTAAGGTGTTGGGCCACTATGTGCCTCCAGAACAGCTTCAGTCCACTCAGCAATGATGGTGGAGATGCTCTCTAACATCTCTGTCCCACTGGGATAAGAGCTGGTCAATGTGATGGCCACAGGATATGAGTCACATCATCTTCATACTCCTCAAACTATTCAGTGTGACCCCTTGTGCCCTGTGGATGTGGGCAATGTCAAGAGGTCAGTTGTTCATTCAGGTTTTTCCTTTAATTTGTCACCTGTCTGTAGCTGGTTTGTTCATAGAAAAGTGAAGGGACAAATGAAGAAAAAGATTCAGTGCCGGTGAGTTCTCTGAACAAAGCACTCACTTCAATTTATGTTTCAATTTTTCACTTACTGTATATAGGAATGTAAAGTGTTTATGCCAGGTACTGGAATATACTTTGA